GTACAAAATTAAAAAGTGTTTGTTTGTTTGTTTGTTTGTTTGTTTTTGAGATAGAGTTTCGCTCTTGTTGCCCAGGCTGGAGTGCAATGGCACAATCTCGGCTCACTGCAACCTCCGCCTCCCAGATTCAAGTTATTCTTCTGCCTCAGACTCCCGAGTAGCTGGGGTTACAGGTGCCCGCCACCATGCCCAGCTAATTTTTGTATTTTTCAGTAGAGATGGGGTTTCGCCACATTGGCCAGGCTGGTCTTGAACACCTGACCTCAGGTGCTTGTTTTAGGACAGGCGTGGTGGCTCATGCCTGTAATCCCAGCACTTTGGGAGGCCAAGGCAGGCGGATCACCTGAGGTCAGGTGTTCAAGACCAGCCTGGCCAATGTGGCAAAACCCCATCTCTACTGAAAAATACAAAAATTCGGGACTGGGCACAGTGGTTTATGCCTGTAATCCCAGCACTTTGGGAGACCAAGGCTGGTGGATCACTTGAGGTCAGGTGTTCAAGACCAGCCTAGTCAACATGGTCAACCTCTCTACTAAAAATACAAAAATTACCTGGGCATGATGGCATGCACCTGTAGTCCCAGCTACTTGAGAAGCTGAGGCAGGAGAATTACTGGAACCCAGGAGGCAGAGGTTGCAGTGAGCTGAGATCATGCCATTGCACTCCAGCCTGGGCAACAGAGTGAGACTCTGAGTCAAAAAAAGCAAAAATACAAAAATCAGCCAGGCGTTGGTGGCAGGTGCCTATAATCCTAGCTACTCAGGAGGCCGAGGCAGGAGAATCCCTTGAACTCGAGAGGCGGAGGTTGCAATGAGCCAAGATCGCACCACTGCACTCCAGCCTGAGTGACAGAGTGAGACTCTGTCTCAAAACAATCAAACAAACAAAAAACCCCACGAATATCATGGGCTCCTGACCAGCCTGCCGGCATTGATTCCAGGCTATGTGATCTGGGGTCAGACTCTTCCCCTGCTATGAGCCTCAGTTTACTGTCTTTTCAAATGGGAGTACCTTAACCTGTGGCTTAAGGTTGATATCAGATTAAACGAGTTATCCAAGTTATCCATCTAAAGCACTTATAAGCATATACTTGCCATTGTTACTGTGTAGGCTGAAAAGGGACAGCCGTGAGCTCACTGGATCGTCACATCGGCACTATGAGACGGGTTTTTACTGTCTTTCCCATTCTTACAGACGCCTCCAGGCAAAGTGCTTTGTTCAAGGTGGCTAGACCGGCAAATGCCAACCCAGTTCATTTGCCACATTGCAGTAACCTATAAGAAAGTCTTTCTGCTGGGCATGGTAATTCATGCCTGTTATCCCAGCACTTTGGGATGCTGAGGTAGGAGCATCACTTGAGCCCAGGAGTTTGAGACCAGCCTGGAAAATATACTGAGACCTTGTCTCTACAAAAAAATAAAAAGAATTAGCTATGTCTAAATATCCTGCCTATACCACAAAAAAAAAAAAAAAAAAAAAAAAGAATTAGCTAGGCATGGTAGTGCACGTCTGTAGTCCCAGCTACTCAGGTGGCTGAGGCAGGAGGATCGCTTATGCCCAGAACAGTAAACTGTGATTGCACCATTGCATTCCAGTGTGGGCAACAGAGGGAGAACCCCATCTAAAAAAAAAAAAAGAAAAGAGGCTGGGCTGGGTGGCTCATGCCTATAATACTAGCACTTTAGGAGGCCGAGGCAGGCGGATCACGAGGTCTGTCTCTACTCAAAATACAAAATATCAGCCAGGGGTGGTAGCATGTGCCTACAATCCCAGCTACTTGGGAGGCTGAGGCAGAGAATCACTTAAACCAAGGAGGCAGAAGTTGCAGTGAGCCGAGATCACGCTGCTGCAGTGCAGCCTGGCAACAGAGCAAGACTGTCTCAAAAAATCAAAAAGAAACTATCTTCTCTGAAGGTGTAAAAGACATGAAAAAGAAAGAAAGGTAAGGAATGACTGAGGAACTATCACAGATAGAAAAGACCAGGACTAGAGCCGGGCGTGGTGGCTCACACCTGGAATCCCAGCACTTTGGGAGGCTGAGGCGAGTGGATCACTTGATGTCAGGTGTTTGAGACCAACCTGGACAACATGGTGAAACCCTGTCTCTACTGAAAATACAAAAATCAGCCAGGTGTGGTGGCGCACGCCTGTAATCCCAGCTATTGGGGAGGCTGAGGCAGGAGAATCGCTTGAACTCAGGAGGCGAAGGTTGCAGTGAGCCGAGATCGCGCCATTGCACTCCAGCCTGGGCAGTAGAGTGAGACTCCATCTCAAAAAAAGAAGGATAAATTAACTGGGAATGGTGTCATGCACCTGAGGTCCCAGCCATTGGAGAGACTGAGGTGGGAGGATCGCTTGAGCCTGGGAGCTGAGGCTGCAGTGAGTCATGTTTGTCCCACTACACTCTGGTGGCAAACCCTGACACAGCCAAACCCTGTCTCAGAAAACAAACAGCTTTTCTCCCCGTTTCAATGACATGTCTGCGCAAGAACAGTTTCTTCACAGGCAAAATCCAAAACAACAAAACACAACAGACTGAAATGAAAACAGATCTGAGGAGAATCCAGGTGTCAGTTACTAAACCAGATACTGAAGAACCTCAGGCGAGGCACGGTGGCTTATGCCTATAATCCCAGCACTTTGGGAGGCCAAGACGAGGTTGCTTGAGCTCAGAAGTTCGAGACCAGCCTGGGCAACATGGTGAAACTCGATCTCTATAAAAAATACAAAAATTAGCCAGGTATGGTGGTGGGTGCCTGTAATCCCAGGTATTCGGGAGGCTGAGGTAAGAGAATCGCTTGAACCCTGCAGGGTGGAGGATGCAGTGAGCCAAGATTGTGCCACTGCACTCCAGCCTGGGTGACAGAGTGAGACCCTATCTCAAAAAAACAAAAAATTAAAGATTGTTAGAAGATGCAAGTCAATGCCACTCTCTTTACTCAATTTCTTCTTGTGCAAAATATGGTTTTTTCACAAAAATACCACTTACATGAATACAGAAGGCATTCGTTATTGTTAATTTTAAATGACAATAATTTTTTTTTTTTGAAATGGAGTCCCACTCTGTTGCCCAGGCTGGAGTGCAGTGGCACGATTTCAGCTCACTGCAACCTCTGCCTCCTGGGTTCAAGTGATTCTCCTGCCTCAGCCTCTTGAGTAGCTGGGATTAAAGGTGTGCACCACCATGCCCAGTTAATTTTTGTATTTTTAGTAGAGATGGGGTTTCACCACGTTGGTCAGGCTGGTCTCAAATTCCTGACCTTGTGATCCACCTGCCTCAGCCTCCCAGAGTGCTGGGATTTACAGGAGTGAGCCACCATGCCCGGCCGATAATAGGCAGGTGGATCACGAGGTCAAGAGATCAAGACCATCCTGGTCAACATGGTGAAACCCCGTCTCTACTAAAAATACAAAAAATTAGCTGGGCATGGTGGCGCGTGCCTGTAGTCCCAGCTACTCAGGAGGCTGAGGCAGGAGAATTGCCTGAACCCAGGTGGCGGAGATCGCGCCATTGCACTCCAGCCTGGGTAACAAGAGTGAAACTCCGTCTCAAAAAAAAAGATTTTAAATGCCTCAGTTTTAATACCTAATATAGTAAATATAGTAAAATATAGTAAATATTGCTAGCTACACTGCACATAAACTAAAGCTCTTTGATATTCTCCATAAATTTTAGCAATGTAAAACAGTCCTGAGATTAAAAATGTATGGAAATTGCTACTACCTGCCAAGCTCAGTTCTGTCTCCCCCACCTTTATTTTTTTGAGACAGGTTCTCTCTCTGTCACCTAGGTTGGAGGGTAGTGGCATGATCTTGGCTCACTGCAACCTTTGCCTGCTGGGCTCAAGTGATCCTCCTGCCTCAGCCCCCAAGTAGCTGCAACTATGGGCACGAGCCACCATGCCCAGCTAATTTTTATATTTTTTTGTAGAGATGGGGTTTCGCTATGTTACCCAGGCTGCTTTTGAACTCCTGAGGTCAAGCAATCCACCCACCTTGGCGTCCCAAAGTGCTGGGATTACAGGCATGCACCACTGTGCTCCGCCTCCTCCTTTTTTTTTTTTTTTTTTAGACAGGGTCTCTGTTGCCCAGACTGGAGTATAGTGGCCAATCATGGCTCACTGTAGCCTTGAACTCCTGGTCTCAAGCAATCCTCTTACCTCAGTCTCCCGAGTAGCTGGGACTACAGGTGCATGCCACCACACCTGGCTAAGATTTTTTCTTTTTTTCCCTAAGAGGCAGAGGTCTCACTGTGTTTCCTAGGCTGGTCTCAAACTCCCAGCCTCAAGTGATCCCCCTGCCTCAGCCTCCCAAATTGCTAGAACTACAGGTATGAGCCACCACACACAGCCTCAGTTCTACCTGTTTACAGGTAGCAACTCATTATACCTCACCATGAGGTTGTACTAATATTACCCCATTATCCAGATGAGGAGGCTGAGGCCAGAGAGGTTAAGCCACTTGCCCAAGATCATACAGCAGATACATAGCAAAACTGGGATTCTAACCCAAGTGGTCTGAGTGCTGAGGGTCCAGAGTCCAAGCTCTCACCCCCACAGTGCAAGGATCCTAATTAAAGATCAGGAAGCAGTCAGTCTTGTGGGGAAGAGGAGAGGAGGGATGGAGAAGGGACTGGGTAACCCAGCTCTGTCATCACTCATCTACTAGTTCCTTCCACAACTGGCTCTAAGACCCACCATGCGCAAATGAACGTGCCAGGTCCTGGAGACATGACAGGGATGCAATCAGTGAACAAGAACAGCAGCAGACCGCTTTAGAGAGCCGAGAGCCCTCACTGTGGGCTGAGCACCGTGATCATTCCCTGCACTTCCAGATGTACCACGGCCTGTGCGCCCCATTTCACAGAGGCGGATGACCGAGGCTCAGGAGGAATGAGCCACCTGCCTAGGGGCCCACAGTGTGGGATTTCTGAGCCCTTCACAATGTAGCACTGCTGGGCCTTGCTGGGAGAGGTGTAGAGAGGGGTCAGGGACACTTACCTGGGTAAGACAGATGGACTTGCTCTGGGGCAGCGCTGGAGGCCCTCGGGGACCCCTGGACTCCCAAGTAGCATAGCAGGAGCAGACAGCAGCAGGACCAGCAGCCAGGAAGGGAGTGCATGGTGGTGGGGTGGTGACAGCAGACAAGGGAAAGCAGGGGGACTGAGGAGATCAGCTCCCCACAGGTACAGCAGGAAGGGCAGGGAGGATGGGGAATAGCAGCGCTCTGTGGGAGTGAGGCAGGAGGGCAGGGAGGTCTTCTTCAAGACGGGTAGTTATCCAGACGCTGGAGAGAGAAACCCCAAATAAGAATCGCTAAGGAGCAGCAGCAGAGCTCTGAGCCTGCCTGCCAGTGTGCCAAGTGCTTGACATAGATTAACTCACGGGAGCCTCACGACATTGCTATGAGGTGATGGCTGTGAGCATTCATCATCCCTGTATCACAGATGAGGAAACTGAGCAACTGAGTGATTCAGCTGCACAACTAGCATGCACTGGAGCCAGGATTTGAACCCAGGAGGACCTGATTCTGGAGCCTTGCTCCTAACCAGAGCTCACTGTCAGTGCTGGGGGTCTGGGAGTGGGGTGGAGGCTGTGGAGTGGAGGAGGTTGCATTCGATAGCCCCAGCCCCAGCCCCAGGTTTCCATCCTGCTGTTAGAAACCCCAGTTCTCTTACCTACTCCCCAGATTCCAAGCATTCCCACCAGCAACCCCCTCCCCGCCCCCCCCCCGCTCCCCCCCCACCCCCCCCCCCCCCCGTCCTGGGCCCTGGCAGCTCTACTCCATCCTTAGCCTTCCATTTTGCTCCTAGTGATCGCAATCCTCCCAAGCCACCCCCTGATCCCTTAAAGCCCATCCTGGCTAGAGAGGCTGCATCCTCTCTGCCCATCCCCAGCCACTCAGCCCTTCCCCGATCTGTACCCACCCCCCAACCCCCAGTGCTCCCCCCACCCCAGCTCCAGCTTGGTCTCCAGCTGCCAGGCTGGAGCCCCGTCGGGACCCTCCGGGAGCGGGGCGCCCTCCTGGACCCCGGCTCACCCTCGGGGGCGCGGGCTGCCCGCACGCACGTCTCCCGCCACCCGCGCCACCGCGGTATTTATGAGTTCGCTGGTGCCGAGGCCGCCTGCCGCCTACAGCCGTCCCAGCCCCGGAAGAGCCGGTCGCCTCGGGGTGACGGACTCCCCAGACAGCCACGGCCCCGGGTCCCACAGGTCCGGCCGGTCCCGGGCGCCCCACGCCCACCCGCCTACCACCCCCCCCCCCGGGCGTGGCGCGGGAAGGGGGACCCAGGAAGGCTTGGTACGCCGCCGCCGCCACCTCCAAGTCGGCCACCAGGTGAGCGCCCGGGCAGGTCAGCCTGCGCTCGCCCCCCAGGAGCCCACTCATCAGCTGAGGACCCTCCCAGGGCACGGGCACCAGCCCCTAGCTTGGCCCTGCCGGATCCCCACCCAGGTACCCAGATGTGCAGGTACTTGGGGATCCCCAATGTTTCCAGCCTGCCTGCATCGTCCTAGCAATTCCTTGCCGCTACCACCTTCTCCATGCTGAGCCCACTGACTCCTACTCAGAAACCCGGGGCACCCTGAAAACAAAACCGGAACCCTGGAATTGCTGTGGGCTTTCTGAGCTGTGCGACCTGGGTGAGTTACTCAACCTTGCAGGACCTCGGGTGTTTTCACCTGTGAAAAGGAGGTGATGATCGTCTATACCCCATGGGCTGTTGTGAGGAGTAAACCAGTTGATACCTGAAACTTCATGCTGGTAACAGGGCTCGGCCCAGAGTAAGGGCTGGATAAGCATCAGCTGTTCTTTTTGTCGTTATTAATGCATGAACTCCAGAAGCTGACGTCTAGGGAGCGAGTTAGGTTTCTTCCCTGTAAGCCTTTGCGAGCTGTTTGAACGTGGGGAGGGCTTGCCACAAAAGAAGCAGCAGGAAAAGTCTGGGGGGTCCGGATTTCCAGCTTCCCCATCGTGTCCTGATGGCAGACACAATGACCCGCCACCACGTGGCTTTGTAAATTCAGAGTATATAGACTTCTACTGGTTGTGGGCACCAATTTCAGAAATTGGCACTAGGCGTGTGAGAAATTCAAAACGAGCCTTTTGCGCTGTGTTTTTTTTTTCTTCCCACTTCCAGAGTCTCCATTACAGCCTAAAATATGACAGAAGCGGCTCTATTAGCCAAACTTGAGTACCCGCCACTCCTGTGGCCACCAGTGATAAATAACCTCCCCTTATTCTTAGTTCTTCAGAATGGGAGGTTCCTAACCTTTAACGTGATGAAGGTGCCTCTGGCAAGCTGGTTAAGCCCTTCCCAGGTTCATGATGATACGTGCATAAAATAAATGTACAGAATTACAAAGGAGACCAGTGCTATTGAGACTGTGTGTGTGTGTGTGTGTGTGTGTGTGTGTGTGTGTGTGTGTGTTTGTTTTGAGACAGAGTCTCGCTCTGTTGCCCAGGCTGGAATGCTCTACAACCTCTGCCTCCCAGGTTCAAGTGATTTTTGAGCCTCAGCCTCCCAAGTACCTGGGACTACAGGCATGAACCACCGCGCCTGGCTGAAAACTGAGTTTTAAAAAAACACACGAATATACATGCATATATTTCCGTTAGCCGTCAGAGTGATGACAGTATCACGGATCGGGAGTCTCTGGAGAATGAAAAGGACAAACACCTTAGTGTAATTATAAAAACAGTTTTGACCTCAGTAACCCCCTGAAAAAGGTCTTGGGGATCATAGGTATCCCCAGACCACATTTTGAGAACTGCTAGATTAAAGCTTAGTAAAAGGAGAGGTAAAAACACATTTCCCCTATCCAAGTTCATGTAGCTCCTGAATTCCCAACCACCAGCCCAGGTGAAAAAGGCCCACTGGAATTCCAACTGGTTGGGTCCTGACAGGTGGGTGAGGGTGGACAGCTCACGTGTAAGCTTGTGATGGGAAACAGAGCATCGACTCTGGGGCTAGATAGCCTGTTCATAAATCTCTCCCCAACACTGACTAGCTTAGACAAGCGATTTAACCACACGGTACCTTGGTTTCCCCATCTATGAAATGGGAACAATAGTAGTGCCTTCTAGGGTTATTGCAAGGATTAAATAATACGTAGCTAGAAACCCCTTAGAACAGTGCCTAGCACAAAGCAAGTGCCCCCATACAATCTTCTATTTATTATCATACCCAAGACATCTAGTCTGTCCAGTTTGTAAGACAGGGTTATAATAAGACTAGTTTTCTAAGTCATTTTACTCCATCGCCCAAGCTGGAGTGCAGCGGTGAGATCTCGGCTCACTGCAACCTCCAGCTCCCAAGCTCAAGCGATTCTCATGCCTCAGCCTCCTGAGTAGCTGGGATTATAAGCATGTGCCACCACACCTGGCTAATTTTTGTATTTTTAGTAGAGACAAGGTTTTACTGTGTTGGCCAGGCTGGTTTCGAACTCCTGACCTCAAGTGATCTGCTCACCTTGGCCTCCCAAAGTGCTGGAATTACAGGTGTGAGCCGCTGCACCCAGTGGATTTAAACCTTTTAAATTATGAAACATAATACATATGCAGAGCAGTACATAGACATAAATGTCCCACTGAACAAATATGACAAGAGAATACACCTGTGTAACCACCCACCAGATGAAAGAAAAATAATCTTACCTAGGCTTCCCCCAAGTGCCCACCTGCTTCCTCTCCAGCACAGCTTCCTCCTTTCAGTAAAGGAATCCGCTTAACTTTTACCTGACTTTGGTTTCCCTACCTAAGTATGCCTCCCTATACACAGCGGTTTCATTTTGCCTATTTTTGCACATGGTGTAAATAGAAGTATACAGGATGAACTCTTTCACTCCACTTTATGATTGGGAAATTTATCTGAGTCGGGTATATAATTGGAACCCATTTTCCTTCTCATTGCCAAGGAGCACTCCATTATGTAAATGCACCCCCATTTATATATCAATGGTGGTTTTTTGTTTTGTTTTGTGTTTTGTTTCATTTTTGCGACAGTTTTGTTCTTGTTGCCCAGGCTGGAGTGCAATGGCATGATCTTGGCTCACTGCATCCTCCGTCTCCCAGGTTCAAGTGAGTCTCCCACCTGAGCCTCCGGAGTAGCTGGGGTTACACCATGCCCAGCTAATTTTGTAGTTTTAGTAGAGTTGGGGTTTCTCCATGTTGGCCAGGCTGGTTTTGACCTCCTGACCTCAGGTGATCTGCCTGCCTCCTCTTTCCAAAGTGTTGAAATGACAGCATGAGCCACTGTGCCTGGCCATCAATAGTTTATTTATCAATTTATTAGTTGGTTTATCTGTGAAAACCAGTTATCAATGGAAATTTGAGTTATTTCCTTTTTTTGGCTTTTGCAAATAGTGCTGCGTTCAACATTCTAGTATGTATTTTGTTAAACATACTTACACATTTCTGTTGGGTATAAGCCAAGAGTATAAGATGGCTGACGCCAGCCATGGTGGCTCATACCTGTAATCCCAGCACTTCGGGAGGCCAAAGTGGATGGATCATCTGAGGTCAGGAGTTCGAGACCAGCCTGACCAACATGGAAAATCCCTATCTCTACTAAACATACAAAATTATTGGAGCATGGTCGTGCACACCTATAATCTCAGTCACTCGGGAGGCTGAAATAGGAGAATCACTTGAACCCAGGAGGTGGAGGTTGCAGTGAGCTGAGATTGCGCAAAAAAAAAAAAAAGAGAGAGAGAGAGAGAGGAAAAAAGGTTGGGTCATAAGGTGTATATATCTTTATCTTTGGTAGATACAGCCAAAGAGGTTTCCAAAGTGATTGTAATAATTTCTTCTCCTCCCACCAGCCATGTTAGAACATTTCCATTGTTCCACATCCCTGCCAATACTTGGCACCAATAAAGCATTGTCGGGTGCTTTATTTTTAGTCATTCTGGTGGGTGTGTAGTGGTAGCTCATTGTAGTTTTAATTTGCATTTCCCTGCTGAGTAATGAAATTGAACACCTCTTCATTTGCATATCAGCCTTTTGGATATCCTTTTAGTGATGTGCTTGTTCAAGTGTCTTGCCCGGTTTTCTATTGGGTTGTCCATTTTTATTGGTTTATTTATTTTATTTTTTTTAGAGCTAGGGTCTTGCTCTGTCACCTAGGCTGTAATGCAGTGGCATCATCAGAGCTCACTGCAGCCTCTACCTCCCTGGCTCAAGCAATCATCCCACCTCAGCCTCCCAGTAGCTGGAACCACAGGCAGGTACTATCACCACGCCTGGCTAATTTTCTTTATTTCTATCTCTATTTATTTATTTATTAAGACAGTCCCACTCTGTTTCCCAGGCTAGAGTGCAATGGCACAATCTCTGCTCATTGCAACCTCTGCCTCCCAGGTTCCAGCAATTCTCCTGCCTCAGCACCCTGAGTAGTTGAGATTACAGATGCACACCACTACACCCAGCTAATTTTTGTATTTTCAGTAGAGACAGAGTTTCAGCATGTTGGTCAGGCTGGTCTTGAACCCCTGACCTCAGGTGATCCACCTGCCTCAGCCTCCTGGACTCAAATGATCCTCCCACTTTGATCTCCCAAATTGTTGGCATTATAGGAGTGAGCCACTGCACCTGGCCTCTTCTGTTATTTTTCAACAGCTTTCTCATTTGAGTTACCCTTAGGTTGGCAATCTATCTAGAACTGATTTTTATGTGCAATGTGAGGTAGGGTTTTAAATTTTATGAAAGAAATGCACATGGCTAATAAAATAAAAATAAATGAGTCGACTTTCTTTTTTCTTTCTTGAGACAGAGTCTTGCTCTGTCGCCAGGCACCAGGCTGGAATGCAGTGATGTGATCTCGGCCCACTGCAACCTCCACCTCCTGGGTTTAAGCAATTCTCCTGCCTCCACCTCCCAAGTAGCTGTGACTACAGCCGCATGTCACCACACCCAGCTAATTTTTGTATTTTTTTTTTTTTTTTTTTTGAGACAGTTTCGCTCTTTTTACCCAGGCTGGAGTACAATGGCGCGATCTCGGCTCACCGCAACCTCCGCCTCCTGGGTTCAGGCAATTGTCCTGCCTCAGCCTCCTGAGTAGCTGGGACTACAGGCACATGCCACCATGCCCAGCTAATTTTTTGTATTTTTAGTAGAGAGGGGTTTCACCATGTTGACCAGGATGGTCTCGATCTCTTGACCTCATGATCCGC